GCATTGTTAGAATTTCGAAAAACACTTTAGTCTGTCTATCTTACACAACATCAACGATTTTCATTCCTTCTTCGAATACCAAAGTTACCACCGCTTAATAGTTTTCGTACTCGCTTTAATTTGAGTGTTAAAAGCCTACCTGATATAGAACATCTGTAATAGCCCCATTTGAAAATTCAGCTCAATTTTTGGTATTGTAAACAGCTTAGCTACATTTTCCATTCAAATTAGCTGTAATTTGGAATTTGGAATTTGTATTTCCAACATTTAGAATACCGTAGGTATTTTCTTTTGTCTACCCTATAATTGAGGGCAGACGGTTTTCAGAATATTCTAAGATAATTGCTCTTTAACACCCATTACGGTTAGATGGGAATTATTTTTTTTTTTGTCTTTTATTGTGCGTTGGAGACCCAGACGACTAAACAAATGTTCGGTCCCGTGCTACTTTCTAATATTCGTATTTTTTCATGCTACTATTTCATTTCAATATTTGCCAAAATTAGTATGAAAATATGATTAAATTTTAAAATATACTTGAAATCGGGTTGTACCCTTATCCGGGTGTTATGACCCATATCATGACCTGCAAAAGCGATTTAAGGTATATTGAAAGTTTAGGAAGAATTTCTGGAAGCAAACAAATCCTTTTCTTACTAAATGTCCTATTCGCTTTACTATTTTTGCACCCTTTACATTCGGTATTTCACTGATTGCAGTCCCAATGAATTTTCCATTTTCAGTTCTTATTGGACGGATTATTATGAAATGAAAGAAGTAGTTTCACATTTTGAAATGAGCCCCATAACGATTTGTCGTTCGTGTTTGTTTAAACGTTTTCGTATCTTCCAGTTGAAACACGATGTAAGTCCTGGAGTTGAAAGCTAGATGCTAGATTATAGACATGAAAGATGGCTACTTAACATCATACTGCGCACTAATTCCATTTTTAATATTATTCATTCAGAATTCAAAACAATAAAATGTGTACACTTCAATATAATGTCAAATTAAAAAAAATTACAGCAAAATATTGTTTTCATTCAAATTTTTATTGGCATATTTTCACTCGAGCCAAGATTCCATTCCGAAATTGTATGAATTGTCAAAATCCGTGAAGCCGTCCTTGAGTTATAAGCGTAGTAACTAACATAACATTCTTTTATATGGTGAAAATAATTCTTTGCTTTTATCCTCTTCTGAAATTATATAATTCGTATAGTTCCAATTACCCAATGAATACCTAAAATCTATAACAGTTTTGTCCGTTGTCGCTTTTTACTGCCCAAAAAGAATACACATCATATTAGAATTCAAAAATAAAATAAAAGAAGTGAGCAAATGCTATAGCCGTGCAGGACCGACCATGTGATACCCTAAAACACTACAATATGTTAGAAGCCCCCTTATGTCCAAATCAATTTTGGAAGATTTCGCCATTTATCCAAAATGCTACAATTCTTCCCTATCCTTAACTCTCTTCTCAGGCTTGTCAATTGGCTTCAATTGTGTGATCAGGAAATGTCTTTGGGTCATTTGAACACCTAAATATTTAGCGACAATCTCCAAAAGCTGTATCTCCAAATTAAGACTCATCTATATGATTTGCTTGTCTAAGATATTTGGCTATATTCGTCAACGAAATTAGCATAAGACAGAAATTCGCCTTTTGTTTATTTCGGATATCGCCTGTAAGTAATGCTGGAATTTTTTTCACACAAAAGTAGTGGTCCATATCATGGTACAATGAAGAGAAGGTAGGTCAACTTTGAAAAAATTGCAGGTATAGAGGTCTTGGCTTGTAATGTCAGAATTAATATCAAAACAATAACAAAACAAATAACTTGTTGCATTTATTTTGAATAAATAATTGAAAAACGCGATAACTGAATGAAAGGTCAACACTTCTTTTCAAAATCATGTACTTTATATATCTAAAGGATTATTTCGCTATAAAAACTCTAGATTTTGTCGATGCATACGTTGAAATAAACATTTTGAAAACACCCGAATTTGAATATTTTCTGAACAATTTTTTTGTTATTGAAAAGAAAACACATACATAAACAAATAAAGATGACATGTTAAGCCAAGAAAATAAAAAAATTAAAATCGTATCCCAACATACCAAAAATCCAATACGGCTTGAGAATAATATTATAAAAATATAATTTTTCAACAATGCTTGAGAAACACTTATGCTTCACAAACTTTTCTCAAATCTGTCCTTTTTGACAAATTAGTTTTGATTTTTTGTGAAAATTGTCAGCAAGAAATTATTTTCGAGTTTTGCCTTATTATTTTCTTTGATAAAAAAAAAAAACGAAATCACCGAATTTAGGACACATTTCTGGACCAAACTCTTAAGGTATGGATGAATAATAAATCCGAGAATCTTTGACATATATTATTTCAATCCCATTTCAGATTGGAAGCACCTTTGTAAAGGCTGCAAAATCAGGAACATTTGAAGTTGTTGGTCCTTTTCAATCCCTAAATATATTGCGGACATCTTTAAAACAATAGGCCTAGCCCTTCTGAGCCTTTCGTGAGGATCGGACGATAATTGAAATTTGTACATAATAACCCTAACCTGTGTTGTGAGGTGAAAAATTATTAAAAATATACACTTCAATTTTGTGATATTTTTTTATTTTTTATCGCATGCGATTTTTTCAATTTGACTTATAAATTGGAAAAAAATGCGATAAAAAATAAAAAATGTCACAAAATACTACAAAATCTATATTAACATCATTATGGGCAACTTTTTATGCGATTTTTTTAGATTTCATACTTTTATGCCAAGAGGGCATTCTGAATTGACAAAATTTGTCAAAATGTGTCCAGCTATTCTTGATATATAAGCATTCTAGCTAACACCCCCTTCCTTTTTATATAACCATTGTATATATTTTGCTATATATATCCGATATATTTATTATCGGCATCTGCGTAACGGTCAGAATTTAAGCCCTAAATATTATGCGACCATCTCCAAAAGAAGGCTTCTGTTCTGGCCCTAGCCTCAGAATACAAAATTTTCTGATCACACATTGGTTGGGAATATGGACTGGGGGTACACTAATATAGGGACTATACTTAAATTAATGCCCTTGTGGACAATTATCTCTAAGATGGTTCTCTACCCCAGAGAAGCCAAATACAATATTTTAGCCAAATAAATTGATGAATGTGGTCAAGACCAAAATGGACCCTACTCCGAAAATTGAAAATTTTATGAGAATATGTTATATACCCTCCTAGAAACAAACATGACAAATAAGAGGCAAAAAAGCGACCAAGACCCCGAAAATATGTGATCATTTTTTGCTAGTATAGTTTCTTCTTAAATAACCAACATTTGCCGAAATTAGCATGCAAAATATGATTACAATGGAAAATATACTTGATATCGGGTTGTACCTTTATCCGGGGGTTATGACCCATATTACAACCTGCAAAAGCGATTGAAGGTATTTGGAACGTTTAGGAAGAATTTCTGGGAGAATAGAAATCCTTTTCTTACTAAATGTCCAATTTATTCTGCTATTTTTATTCGTAAAAGTAGATGCCAATTTTATACATGAAAGATTTAACATAATATTGCTTGCTCACTTCATTTTTAATATTATTCATTCAGAACTCAAAACAATAAAACATTTACACTTCAATATAGTATGTCAAATTGAAAACATTTCACGCCACGTATGAATTGTTAAAATCCGTCTTGTGTTATAAGCGTAGTTACTAACATAATTTTCCTTTATATGGTGACAATAATTCTTTATTTTGTTCACAAAAAACGATTGAATTCCATATGATAAGCTAAATTGAAAAAAAAAACATCGTACTTTATATTAAATTGGCCGATAAGGAAGAACAAATTGAAAATAGAAAATAATCTTTGAAAAAATTTGTTCGCTGATTTTAAAGGTCCTTACGAAGTTCGTCAATAGAACGTACTATTATTTTGAAATTAGATTCCATCGAATCAATTTTCTCGAGTTTAGAAAAAACAAAAACACTACAAATGTACATTCGAAAATAGTAAGTGAAAATAGAAAAAAATCATGCCAAAGAAAACACTACTATTGTACATTTCAAAAGTCAAAATGAAAATGTTCAAATTTAACACTTTTTCGCGATTTCTTTGGATATTATCCTTTTCCGCCAAGAAAAAAAAAAAACAGATCAGCGGTTCTTGAGTTATAAGCGTAGTAACTAACACAACTTTCTTTTATATATATAGATTTTATGTGACGAAAACGTAAAAACAAATAAACTGTATCAAAATATGTCTGAAAGTCTAGTTTTTAATTTCGTCTTTGTCGTGCCGACATATGACTTTTGGCATACGTCAGCGTCGTCCCCATTACATGTTATCCTATAAACTACATTGCACTTGTCCTCATTCTTAATTTTAGATTTTGTTTTACTAAACAGACTGTCGACATTATTACGAGATTTAAACGCTAATTGATAGTTGTCCTTATTGTAAATGTTTGATTTACCAAGTCTTTCTGAGAATCCCGGGATGTAAGTAACAGCTTTATATATCTTTCCTTGTCTTGCCTCCTTTATTTGGTCCGTTTTTGCGTGTATAATTAGGTCGTCAATGGTGCTTTTTGGAAAATCATTTTGGCTTAATATGTGGCAACTACATGTCATGTCATTTAGCTGGGGTGTGCGATGGGCAATTACGACGCTCTGTGCATGTAGCGGTGTCGTGACAGCGATGAAGATATGGCGACGTCGCGAGGGGCGTTACTGTATCCATTTGGTTTTGGTCAAGTGCAAACCAAACAAGATTGTTTCCAAACAACTCAGGTTGTTTGTATCTTTTGCTAGATTTTCTTGGAACCTCGAAACACTTGGACATTCGCGTTCTGGCTAATGGCACATCAACCATCAGTCTGGAACAAATGGCTGGAGGTGTGTGAGTGCGACGTTTCTGTTCTTGTGTTGCCTCAGTCGCAAGTGTTTTGAAATCTGATCATGAAAAACAAACATACCAACAGTAAAGGGAGCGAGCTCGCCATGCCATTTCATTGGGTGGTATTCGCCCTGGCCGCAAAGAATATGGAGCGAAAACACACTCAAAAGTGACAGCTGCGCACTCAGAGCGAAGCAATGTAAAAAGAGCATAACAACGAATTCCCACTCAAAATGGGTCTCTCCACGTACCAACTAACCAAACTCGTTCCGTTCAAATTTCGCCGAAGAGGAGGTGCTTCGCTAGTTATCCGCCAATCAATAACCACCCTTATTTGGCCAAGACCCACAGAGCCGCTGCACTCACTTCGAACTACTGCAATGTCTTCACATTTCTCTGGGTGGATGAAGTTCCAGTTGTTGTCAATGTTGGTGGTGACTGAGTGCTTGTGTGAGTTTGTGATCATGGACATGGATGTTGTCGATATTCGTCGGCTGGCTGGCTGGCTGACTGGCTGGTTGGTTGGTTAGCTGCTTATCAGACTGGTTTGTGCCTCGTTGATGTTGTTGTTGCTCCATGAGAATTAGCCAACTAACAACCACTTGTATTCTACTCGTCACTCGGTCGCAGCGAATCCGTTTGAGTGCTCTTGCCGCCGCATCTGAATGCTGTCGGCCTTGTGTTCAGCTTCTGGCTCTAATCAGTCCAACGAGTGGTCTTGCGTTGTAACGACGTTTTGTATGGAGGGTCTGTGTGAATGGCATCAAGTTTTTTAGTGTTTGGCTTGACGTGGTTGTCCTCCTCTTCAGCTGGCGCATTACGAAAGATCTAGCCACATAAATTTCGTGGTCGTCTATTTGCGTCCGCGTTCGCGTATCACACGGTAAAAAAAAAAAAACAAAATCAAAAAAATAAATAAATTGAAGAAACATAAAAATTAATATCGGAACGCCATTGTTGGTGTTTTCAAGTGCCGTTATATGTTGTAATCAGACCGGGAAATGTTCAAACATATCAATATTTTCGAAACCAACTAAAACATGATTGGATAAAACATAGAAAATAGATTGAAGGTGTTTTTTCAAATCAAAACAAAAAAAAAATAAGAAATAAATAAAAAGGAGATTTTCCGTACAAAAATATTACACTAAGTACAAATAAGAAAATTCCATTAAAACTGTGAAAAGTTTAACTCCATCCATCTGCCGGAATCAAAAAGTTAAACACTACTACCTACATAATCGGAATAGGTAGTAGATAATCGATCAATATCCGGAATTAGCATCTCTATATAGGTATCTCTGCTGTGGATTAAAAACCGCCAAAATTGTGGAGGCACTTAAAATGAAGGTGAGTGTCTATTATCTATCTATCTAAGGGGATTCTCTTGGGAAGCTTAACCGTCGGCATATAGAACAACTATGGATGGATTCGTTTCAAATTGTAATGGGTGCTAGTTACTGTCGTCCGGCGGAGAGTTACAAGCAGTTTTTAAGACATTTATAAGGGTTGTACTTCAAAAACAATGAACATAATAATATAAATATAATTTGATTGCATGGAGTCTTCTTTTCAATCCTTTATGGACGAATACACTTGACGGACAAAACAATGTAATTTACATCCTCCCATGCTGATTTTATAAATCTGTCTTAATGGAAACGTACATACTATTGCATATGTATAGGAATATGTATGCGACAATAATTTTTGCGAAAATTTAATTTTTTAGCAGTCTTCAATATTGAGCCACACATAAATTTGCTAAAATGGATTATTTACAATTTTTACTAGGATGCAATTACCGAACACTCATCTAAATTTCCCATTTCGTTGGCAACACCTCTTAATGTTTGTTAGATACAAAAATATATTCTTTAATTGCGTCAATTTTACAATTTGGAAAATTACGGAAATGTTCACACTGGACCTTTTAAGGTTGGTACAAAAGTTTGAATTTTGCCAATCATGTTTGATATTGACAATGGACTTGATCTGAATACGTTTTGGTATTGCGCACTTATTTTCGATGTTTGGAAGGCTTCAAAATTAGTTAAGAGACCATTAAACCATTAAACAGTAGACCTGCATTAAAATGTGTGTCCAAAGAGTAAACTTACCGACTGAGAACCCGATTTGTCCAATTACAACATTTCGGGTTTTCTATCTAATTCAACAGAAATTTAAAGCAGTTCCACTTTTTAGCTTTTTAGTGTAGAGGTTTCGGTATTTAAAATATATAGCCTCAATTTTCTATCGAATTGTTTTTAATTTGACACTTAGAGTTCTCATTGAATAGAACGTCTCATTGGCTGTTTTGTTTGTTTTGAAATTTCTAATGGACAGAATATAACTTTGCTAAAAATCCGAGTCGTTGGATAGTCCCACATAACGGTATTGTTAATATTGTGCATGTGCATGCATATTGTTAATATTGTGTGTGCCAGATTTGGGTTGGATTAGTAGAATATCCATGGAAATATTTTCAAACAATTTAGTTATACTTTAAGTTGCCCTTATGGCGAAGGGTATAAAAAGATCAATGTGATCGAATTTAATGACCATTTTTCGGCTTTTAGACCCGAAAAGGCCAATCTACGGGAGTTACTTTCAGGAATCGAGCAAAAAGAAAATAACGTCATTAAATCATACGATATATTTTAAACATCGTCAGCCTATATATATGAAAGATGAAATTGGCATGGGGCAAACTGATCCGTTTACTCCGATTATTTATATTTTAATTCCTTGAGAAACAAAATGTTTGTATTAGAACCTACAACGTCGATCCATCTATATGTATTACTCGGGTGTATGTGTTGTTTGGTAGTTGCCAAGAGAGATTGGAATGTGGGCTATTTTGGCCCACTATTAAATATCATATTCATATAACAAGGTTTAGTCAAGTTTCCCTTCAAAATTTCCTATATCTTGGTGTTTTCTCTTCTCTGCGGGAAATATAACCCGACCAACATTTTCCTGCCGACGTTACTGGAAACCCGTAACTGATTTTCCCATATGGTGGACAGCATAAATAGTTCGTCCCGACCAATTATTTCCTCCGTTGTGTTTTTTTTTTCACGTACGAAAGGACCACATAACATTGTGAAAAAAATCTCATGACTCTATTTTAGAATGATTTTTTTCTCTATTGGCAGTACCTTATTAAAAAATGCGATATTCACTTCTGTGGTCAATTTCGTAGCAATCAAACTATAATTGCGAAATCTGGCAGTTTATTACATTAACGGAACCCATGTACATATTGGGTTATTTCTATATATATATCCACGTTGTTGGCATCGTTGAAAATGTCAAGAGTTCATCTTCCAAGCATAACCTCTGTATCTTCTTCTTATTTAATCCGAGTACTTTGAAAATAGCATGTGCTGTAGATTGGTCTTCACAAAGAGTAGTTCTAAATGACTATCTCATATCCTTTTCGTTCTTGGATTGAGACACAAAATCTGGCAAAAGACTGTTTTGATTTGGTCATTAGAGGTGAATTTCTAATAATTTCTGATAATTTTACTGGAATGTATAGTTAGTTTTTCGATTTTAGTTTCGAATTTGAGACAATTTTTTTGTGCCAATTCTCATTTGTTCTTTTTTCAATGCAGACTTTATCATTATTTAAATGTAAAACAAATGGTCCGTTTAGAGGTTGCTTTTCAACAATGTGCGCTAACAAAATGGAATGTCACTGAAATTGCAATGTGAAATTTCCATGTTTTCAATATTTTTTTCACTTTGCCAAATATATTTTCTTGACCATTTCCTGGAGGTTTCATTGGTGAATAATGCTCCACCCTATGTTATCCCTCAACTACTGTGTTGAAATGTCCTTGTTTTTGAAAGGAGAAAAGCGTTAACAAAAAAACGAACAAATATTTTGAGATTGCAACAGATTGTAGCAATTATCAATATTTTTGTGATCAATTGACGAATGAAACGTCTGAGTCATGGCTGGCATTCAGATGCAGCTATCATCACCCAGCACAATGGAATAGCTTTGATGGACGTAGCGACTCAAGATGAGCGATGGAAATTCATCGATGCTGATAGTTTCAATTGTAAATACCAATGGACGGTTGGATGGATCATAAATTCAAACAAAAAAGTTTACGATAAGCGTAAGGAAAGAACAACAAAAAATGAAACAGACTCCAAAACTTTATTGACAGGCGGGTCTCGCAGATCAACGCTTTGAAATGCCCAGCTGGAGATTGGCAAGTAACATTTAATGCGTTGGGCCTATTGGTGAAAATAAGTTGTTGTTCTCTGCGGGACTGTGTTGTTTGTGGCATTTTCGTGGGGCATCATGCTGTTGAAGTAGGTGGTGGGGAGATGAGGTGCGCTCCACACAAAACCTCAATGCGGCAAAGTGATTCTGTCGAAAATATTCAACACTATCGGAATAAGTCTTCTTTATTTCGTCAAAAACTGTTGATGTTGTCGGCTTTTTTTGTTTCGGATCGTGTAGATTCAATTCACTTGGGTTGTGAGTGATACAGCAGAAAAATCGCCCAACAACAATGTAGACGATTTTATTGTTGTAACCACATTAATACGAATATATATTTAGTATAACGTCGATCCGCCGTTTATGCAGATCGTTTTGATAATGCCCATACAGAACAAGTGTATGTGTGAGTGCTGTAAATAATTCGCCCGGTCGTTCATTCATTCATTCATCCATGTTGGTCTGGACATCATTTCCATTCCATAGAACTGTGGAGGAGTCTGTGTGCTGCTACGTACATATCTTACAATGATTGAATTCCTGCCAAAAAACAATAAGTTTGGTGTTTGCCGTTGTTTTTTCCACTGTTTAAAAATCTACATTCGGGGCAGTGGTGGCGGCGGACATCCATCGCATTAATCAGCATGAATGTGAATTGTGTATTCGTTTCTGTTTTTCTTCGATTCCGAGTTGAAATCGATTTGAGCTGAGTGTGTGCGATTACCCGTTTCCCGTTTTTGTACGATCAGAGATGTTGCTGAGATATTTGCGCTTAAATATGCCGCCATCCCGCTGGGTATTTTTGATAACTTTTAAATGCTTCAATTTGCTGTTAATTTCTTCAACACATTTCCCTGTTCGACGGAGGTATACATTTGCTGGTCGGTGTGTGCGTAGCGATTAGATGTGTCAGTGTTTGTGTTTGGTTTGGTCTGATCCATGTTACACGATGATAATCCAAATGTTTATGATAAATACCACCCACACAAATTTCTTACGCGTTTAAAAATTATGAGCGTTCCTGCATTTGAACGTGTGTGTGTGTGAGTGTGTTTTGCTTTCTTAATGTGAATATTTATATTGTCGCCTGTATTGCGGTGTGTTCGTTGTGTATCGGATTTCATTAGCGTCGATAGTCAGTTAAAGGTGTTGTTGATACTCATAATTTCCATATTTAAATTGTTCAAGAGTCCAAATAATCGATGACATTAGTAATTAAGCAAAACAGTAACCAATCGATTATATTCGACTAGTCAGTCAGTCGTCCGCTATGCCAAAAGAGGGGAACTAATTGACCCTGCGTGGGAACTTGCAACAACTTTTGTGTTTTGAACTCCCACTCATTGTTGCAGTGCACTATGGGGCTGAAGCAACGTTTTTGAGGCAAAAATCATTTTTTTTTTTTTGAAATTAGTCATTTTCATGAGTTGTCAAAGATGTCAAATTTTCTTTTCGAAGTTTCCTGAAATTTTTAACTTAATCAAGCCTTATATTATTATTGGCGCCCAATAAAAACTGTTCGCATTATTTTAACAACAACAAGTAAAAACCAGTAAAGAGAGTCCTAAAGTCGGGCGGGGCCGATTTTATGATACCCTACACCAATTTGCTAATTTAGTAGAGCTCCACATAACAATTAAAAGTTTTTATGATTATAATTATAATTTAAAGTTCAAAGGACTAAATATGCCGAAACATTTGTATCTTTTAAGTTCGGACTTGTATTGCCCATTTGGTGCAAAATTAATTTGAAATCAGATAAAGATATATAAGAGAGCTATATCCAAATCTGAACCGATATCGATAAAATTTGGCAAATATATTTCTGAGCTGTATTTAATATATTCCCCCAAATATTGTTGTTACAGAGTGCATATTACGGCTGTAGGTAACAAATATAACAAATCGGATGAACAATATATATGGGAGCTATAGCTACATCTGAACCGAACTTCACCAAATTTGGCATACTACCTTCTAGACCCAATTCGGTCGTATGTGCCAAATTCCTTCCCATTTGGGCAAATATTAGACGTTTGGTGCACAATAAAATGTAAATCGGACGAAGTTATATATGGGAGCTATATCCAAATCTGAACCGATCTCG